ATCTTCCATAGTTCCGATTTTGCATCACCTAACATCTAAAGTCATTAAAACTCCATATAACTCACAAACCAATAACACCCCCTTAGAAGGTTTTAAAAAGTTTTTATAAGGTTTATCAAGAGTTTATAAGGTTTTTATATGGTTTTATAAGGTTTTATATGGTTTTTAGAAGCTTTGATAAGTTTTTTCTATATTTTTTGAGAATGTCTTGGTTTTGAGGTTATATTATATGTAAATACTGTTGACTTTTCAGTTTGTTTTTTGTTATTAGGTTAAGAAGATTGAAGATAGTGGTGTGTACATGGTAAAGATAATGGAAAGCTATGCAATGTCTGAAAGGACTAATGACGAGTTCCTGGAACACAACATTGCAGATATCCGAAAGAAACTTGCGGTTGACATATTTGCTGAATTAGGAAAGACATAGGTTAGTATGAGTATTTTTTTTTTTAATATTGTAGGATTTACAACAGTTTAAAACAGTATTCTAACGTTATTCACATTACCTTGCGTAGGACTATGGATGACTGCTAAGGAGTATGGAGAACTAGGACATATTTTATTTTATTTTTGGAAACTATGTCGATTTGAAAACACTTGTTGAAAATATTATCTTTTGAATACTTTTATCTTTGTTGAAAATATTATAACACTTCAATCATCTTTTAAAACCATTACAAAGAGTTCTCAATGGATTTCCAAGAAAAATACAATATAACACTTCAATCATACTCGTGCTATTTCAATACTAAAACTATAATTGCGTGTTACGCGGTTTATAACCTTGTTTTAAATACAAGGGTTCTTACAAAAGGTTTGTAAACAATTTTGAATTCACTAATAAAGCTTTACAAGGGTTTTAAACGAATTTGAAATACAAAGGTTTTTATAAGGGTTTATTTGTATTTTGAGGATTTTATAAGGGTTTTATACTTGTAAATGTTTAAATACAAGGGTTTTTATAAGGGTTTTAAACTGTTTATGTAAGGCTTCTCACAGAAAAAGAAAAAAAACCCTTTTAAAAGGTATTTTACAAGAAATAGGCCTAAAGCCTAATCTGGATTTTGAGGAAGTTATTTTTTTTTTTCTTTTTACTTATTCTTCGTTATTTCTTTTTCGGTCTGCTTTGTTCTTCTTCGTTCTTCTTTGTTCTTCTTTTCTCTTCGTTCTTCTTTGAATCCCAACCGTTCTTCTTCGTGCTTCCAATTCCTTCCTTGTTTTTCTCCGAAATTGGGGGTTTCATTGTTCATCTTCGCCTGGTTCTCTCTTGGACTTTCGAAGTTAGGGACTGTAAATCAGTTGGGGTTTCATTATCGTTAGTGTTGGTTCACTGTCGCCGTCGGTCAATAGAAGAATTGAGGATTTTTGAGGCGAAAGTGACTAGCATTGTACAGGTTTGCACCAGTTTCCAATTGGGAATGTTGCTTAATAGCACCGTTTCTGTGTGTTTGGTTACCATATAACACCGTTTTTGGATGAGGCACTGTTTTTCAATGTTTTTGGCACTGTAAACTAGAATTTTGGACGAATATACCCCCGCGTGATGAAGGCAAAGCAATTAAATGGAAACTAAATAAGTTCCTACAAAACTAGTTTAAATAATAAAATAAGACAATTAATATTATTATTCCTAACTCTCTTGTTCTTTTTTCCCGAAATTATAAATGGTAAAATAAAAATTTCACCTTTCTCTCTCTCCTTCTTCTTCTTCTTTCTTCGCTTCTGCAATTTTTTTGTTTACACTTTAGGTGTTTGTACCCAACAAAAAATTGAGCCAGTTCGCTCGATTCAGATTCAGGTGAACTATATTTGCTACTTCTCTTTCTTCTTTTTGCTAATAGTCATGAAATTGTAGTCATAATTCCCTTTTTTTTTGTTTTTTTCGGGGTTTACAATTTTCAGAAAAGGGGATATAAAACCTCTTCTCATCTAAGGTGAGTCAATTCGTTTTTTAATGTATGATGCTAAACATTGAATTGATTGAGTGTTCGTACGTTTGTTATTTCGTTCTTCGACGAGATTCAGATTTAATGTTTCTTCCGGAGTTGGGTGTTCGGAAATGGTTGTGTACCTTACATACTAACGTATCATCTTAATCTCTTTAACAAATTTGCTATTTTTTGGTTAATTAAATCTCTGCATTTTCGTTTTTTGAGATTCTCGGTATCTTTGTGATTCAATGTGGCTACCAAATTTAGGAGTTTTTTTTTCCAATAAACTCTATCCACATATATGGAGTCCATGAATTGCTGTCCAAAAAGTTGAAGATCTATGGCAGAGTTCGTTTCGGAGAGTCAATATAAAATACTCAAGCATATTTCCTGAAAATCAAAGACAACATGACTGAAGTTGGCGCAATGACGAATACATTATTTTTGAGTAAGTGTATCTTACAAAGTTTAAAGAAATTGAACAAATACATATTTTTTTAATGTGTATTATTCTTGTTTTTTACTTGTCAAAATTGAGATAAAGTGTATTGGTATTTTGTTAGAGGGCAGCCTAAGACGTTAGGACATGAGTTTTATTACTTAAACGGTAAAACCACTTGATTTTCTGGATTCATAAGAAAAGCTTTCATTTGTTTTGTTGTGGGTTTGATATGGTGAATGTGATGCGATGTGATAGATGCGATACGGTGGATACGATGAGGTGGATACGATACCGTGGATATGATGGGGTGGATGCGATACGGTATCCACAATACATCAAATACGATGTGGTGGCTACAATGTTGGGGGTGTGATGATCCAAATGGTCATGGCTTAAAGCTGAAGGAAATGAAAGAGGTAAGAGAGTAAAGTCCAAAAGAGGGAACATAAAAATGCAGGTTACTATATTCAACATGGGATCGACCGTGGTGCTTATTTTCCAAGCATCGACTGCAAACTCACCCGAGGATTCAAGCAATTCTTCAGATTACAGATTTTGTGTTAAACTCACCCGAGGATTCAAGCAGATTTTTTGTTCTTTTAGGTTTTGCATATTATGTTATGCACAATTACAATATGAACAAATTCTAAAAATATTCGAAAAAGTAATTATGTCGTCTCTACTTGAAGCTAATCTAATCGAATATCCATTGATTCATATCTACTATTTTTTTAATGTTCTGAAACTTTTTATTGAAACATATCATCAACATTTCATTTAGCCCTGAGAAACAGAAAATCAAATAAAAAAACAAAGCCAATGCAGAACTAAGTTTAGTATTATATTAATTTGTGGTTCATGATAATTTTCCATCGAAGAGAAGTGTGTAGATATAGACCTTGAATAACCTAAACAAAGAAGTTTATGGTTTATGAATGTGTTATCGAAGGATCTCTTACAAGCCATGTAAAAAACAAGAATTCCACCATAATTTTACAGTCGTCCGTATCAATGTCATCATCCTTCTCAATTCAGTTGAATTTAACCGCAACCTTAGAGACTTCTATATCAAAACTTTGTTCTTGATAAGTAAAGATAAACTCCATAGTGAATTGGTCATAATTACAGTTTTTTGCAGAAAGCAATATGTCCACAAACCTATAATCCACACATCGTTGTCCACAAAGTTAATGTTTCATGATTATCATTCATATGAGGTTATCTAAAGAACAACAAAGGAAGAGGATAACATATTGAGATCAAAATCCAGAAATTAAAGAACTAAGTAGAACTGGGAGTTGATTGATCTGCACAAACTAGAACTAGGAGTTGGTTGGAAGCCGGAGGAGAACATATGGAAGTTTGAAAAAGACGAATAATGCGGTGGTCACCTGACATTGGTTATTGGAAAACGGTGAAATTGGGGACGACATGTGATACAAGACTTGCCAAGAAAGAGTGATACGAAAATTAGGAGCAGTTTCAAAAGAGTGAGCAGTTGCCGGCGATACGATATCGGCGGTTACGAGTATACACCACAGGACATACGACAAGAGCGATTGCCCCCTGGCGGTTGAGATTGTGCATCCAAGGGTAGAATACGATAGAGAATGACATATGAAATTCTGATAAAACACCAGCAGAGCAGCGCCGAGACGAGTTCTGGAATTAAATGCGTCGGAGGGAGAAACGGCGAGGTTACTCTTAGAAAAACAAAAAATAAAATTTTTTTTGTTTTAGTAAAAACATTAAATTGAAGAAAACAAAAAAAAAAGACAGCTATTAAAAGAGAGAATGAAAATGAGCGAAATATTTGGTTAGTGCAATGGAGGGGTAGAAAAGAGAAAAAACAAGGAGAAAGGGTGTGTGTAGTGGAAACGGTGTTAACATGCAATATCAAACTCGAAAACGGTGTTAGAATGCAAAATTCTCTTTCCAATTTCCAATTTCTAATGTTAGGGTTTTACCTATTTTTTTTTTAAAATAGAATAAATTAGTAAAATCTGAGTTTATGCTTGAAATCGTTATGGGTTTGTTGATTAGGGCTACTCGAAATTGGTAATCGTTATGGTTTCGCTAGGGTTTGACAGTTTCAAGCATAAATTTGGGCAATGAAGGGTTTTTGTAAGGTTTTCATAAAATTTTGGAAAAGTATATATTTTGTATAACATTTTAAAAGGTTTTTAAACAGGATTGTGTGTGAAGGGTTGTAAAAAGATTATTAAAAGTTTTTGATGATGATGAATGTTAACTGCTTATAAGAGTTCTGATATTAATGACTTAACAATTATTTTGCAGATGGATAACAATGACTCAATCCACATCAGATCTACCTAAAGGGATCTATGATGATGGTTCTGAACCAAACATTTCAGCATCTTTTATCCAACATTCAGATTTGAGGTTAGTTCCAAAAGTTAAAGCTGTTTTGAGCAATGAATCGTTCAAAAAGCTTCAAAATTCTTTCCTTGGACATATCATCAAGATTGAAGCAAAAAGCCTCAAATTCTTGGGCAAACTATTTCACTACATTATGATGAGGAGGCTGAAGACAAAAGGAAACAACTTGTGGTTCAGAATCGCTTCACAGCCAACACGTTTCTCCATGAGAGAATTTTTTCTGTCAACAGGTATTTCATATATTTTTGGTTATGATTTGTAGTAGTTGGTTTTAGAAGTGTTTTAAATGATTTTTACATGGTTTTATACAATATGAAAACAGTTAGGTAACGATTTAAAAAGATTTATAAAGCTTTTAAAATGGGTTTAGAAGCTTTTTAAAATGTTTATAAAAGCCTTTTAAAAAGAATTTTTAAGGGTTTATAAGGTTTTATAAGCTGTTTATAATGTTTTTACAAGGATTTCATTTGGTTTTAAAGTATTGAAACGTATGTACAAATTCTTTGAGTATATTGAAAACACTAACCTCGTTGTTTGATATAACACAGGTATTCAATGTGAACAGCTTGATATAGATCAAAGGAGGAAAGGGGACCCGTACAGCTGGACAAAGCGAAAAGATTTGACTCTGAAAAAATTGCAGGCTTATCTGTTTGGTAACCCAGAGGCACCGCCGGGAGAAGATGAGAAGCTTTGTCTTGCAGCGGTCATCCTGACAGAGGCAATACTAATGACGCCTAATTCCACACAGAGTATCCCCTCGTCAAGACTTGAGACTGCATCCGATTTCGAGGCGTATACTTCTTTGGCTTGGGGAAAGGAAGCCTACAACGTCTTAGCAACAAGTATAAGAAGGATGGATGCAAATACGTGGGCGAGAGGCCAATATGAAGTCAAAGGTTTTCCTTTGGCTTTGTTAATATGGGCATTAAGTGTTGTGCCTCTGTTTGGAAGCAAATTTGCTGTATGCAACGACACGTCAAAGTGTGTCTATCCTTCATACTCTAACTGGAAATCATTAAAGCTCCAAAATTCAACGAAATCGTGGATGTCATGGGGAAAACGAAATTTGTAAGTTTTCTTTTCGTGGGTTTTATATGGTTTTTATATAGTTTTTATATGATTTTTATATGGCATCACAAAATGTTGTTTCCTGCAGATTGAAGTGAAAACGATTGTTGGCGACCCGAATCAACATAGCCATTTGGTTATGCCACAGATTGATGAAGACTTCAATGAAGTTGTTAATGTTGTTATCAAAGGATATAGGATGACAATGGAGGAATGGATTCGAGGATCGATCAGTGTTGCTAAAGGAGGACAAGGTCAAAAGAGGCGTGTAAGAGACCCTCATGTTCAAGAACCACCGAAGAAAAACTGAAGAAAATCTGTAAGTGAAAACATTGAGATGCTTCTTGGATTATGTCAAGATATTAACAACAGAATTACAAGATTGGAAAATCATGTTGGAATTGCCAAAGTCAATCAAACACCAAAATGGGGGTTTGAAAACAAAGACCAACCAGCCTCTTTTAGGGCATATATAAGTTTGAAAATGGTTTTTATGAATGGTTTATAATAGTTTTCAATCCATTTACATGAATTTTTAAAAAAAATTAAATGCTTATAGGTACCTGAAGAAGTGAATGATTATCACCAACATGAAGGAAGTGACATCCCTGAGGAGCATTGGTAGGAAAATAATGATAAGGTAAGTATTATTTGTATAAAAACCATATAAAACACTTATATATAACGTTTTTTACAAGAGTTTTATAAGGTTTTTATATTGTTTTTAAAAGGGTTTTAAAAAGAATGTTTACGAAATTATTTCATTAGCGTTTTATAAGGGTTTTATAAGGGTTTTATAAGAATGTTTACAAAAATATTTAATTAGCGTTTATAAGGGTTTTATAAGGTTTTTAAAAGGTTTTTTATAAGGGGATAGGAGAGTTTATTAGCATTTAAAAGGGTTTATAAGGCTTTTACAAGGGTTTTATAAGGGTTTTACAATCATTGTAAATCCATTATAATGTTATAGGTTCCTGAAGAATGAATGATGATCAACCTGATTTGAGAAAGGAAGGAAATGACTTCCCTGAGGAGCATACACAGGATAAAAATGATAAGGTAAGTTTTTTATAAGGGTTTTATAAGAATGTTATAAGAATGTTTATTAGCGTTTATAAGAGTTTTATAAGGGTTTTATAAGAATGTTTAAAAAAACATTTAATTAGCGTTTATAAGGGGTTTTTAAAGGTTTTTATAAGGTTTTTTATTAAGGGATAGGAGAGATTATTAGCATTTAAAATGGTTTTATAACATTGTAAATCCATTATAATGTTATAGGTTCCTGAAGAAATGAATGATGATCAACCTGATTTGAGAAAAGAAGGAAATGACTTCCCTGAGGAGCATACACATGATAAAAATGATAAGGTAAGTATTTCTTGAATATAAAAAGCTTTTTATAAAAACCAAATAAAACACTTGTAAAAAACGTTTTTATAATGTTATAGGTTAATCCTGAAGAAGTTGAAGAAGTGAATGATGATAATCAACATGAGGAGCAACATGATTTGAGAAAGGATAGAAGCGACTTCCCTGATGATTATTCTACCCAAGAAGCATACATAATTTTATCTGATGATGAAGAGTTTATTCATCATTCAGATAATGAAAATGTTAATCAAGAAGAAGAAGCTCCTACACAACAAGAGGCCAGCCAACAAGAAGAAGCTTCTACACAACAAGAAAAGGCCAGCCAAGAAGAAGAAGCTCCTACGCAACAAGGGGCCAGCCAACAAGAAGAAGCTTCTACACAACAAGAAAAGGCCAGCCACCAAGAAGAACCTTCTACACAACAAGAAGAGGCCAGCCAGGAACAGACCAGTTGTAAGTTGTTGAAATTTTTAAAAAGTTTAAATGTGCGTTATAGTTGATCTAAAATACTATATTTTTATATTTGTATTAGTGCCAACACCTTCTACACCGCTGAGTTCACTATCTGATGAAGAAATACAAGGAATCGAGGCAAGAGTCAAAAATTGGGCAATGAAGGGTATTCTAGATATGCTTGCAACATTGCATACAGTAAGTATGTTAAAATCATATATTTGTTTTTATAGTTGCTAAATACTAATGTGATTTGGATGTTCTACATTTTAGATGCTTTGGCCAGGGGCTAAATGGAAAAGAGTCACTGAATCTGAGTTAAAAATGGAACATCATGTCAAAAAGCGATAAGAAATGCAATGTTAATTCTTCATCCTGACAAAGTGCCAACTGATGCCACTGCACAAGTGAAATACCTTGCTAGCAGAATGTTTTCAACATTAAAGGTCAGTAATGTAACTTTTTGATACTTTTGTTTACAATCTTACCGTTATCTAACATGAACTCTTTTTATTGCAGATGGAGAGGGACATATACTTATTATTGAGTTTTCTTTGGGGTGGATCAGTTAGGAAACCTGCTATTTTGGTGATTTGCAACTTGTTAAATGTTATTGAAGATCTTTGAAATGTTAAGAAACTTTAACACTTTATTGTGTTAGTACATTGGTAGGTTGCTGTTTCTTTGTATTCTGCTGCATTTATCTAGTAGATTTTGAAGTTTGTGGTTAATGATATCTATGTTGCAAAGGTGCTAAGGGAATGGAAATTGTTAAACCCCTTGTAAAAACCTTATAAAAACCTTATAATAACCTTATAAAAACCATATTGAAAATGAAAATCATAAAACTTTATACAAAATGGTACTCATAAAAGCAGTATAAAACTCTATAAAAACTTTATAAAAAATGATAATCATAAAATATGATACTAACCTTTGTAAAACATTGTCTAAAGAATAACAAATTCAAGATGAATTAAATAAGGAGTTAGATAGCAGCTACACAACTGGATTTGTTGTGTCCAGACTGGCCACACCTGCTGCATTTGTATGCCTTTTTTTTGTCGTAGACCTTCCATGCTCCCATGAACAACGTATTCTCTTTTTCTTCCGCCTGCCACTAGGTATACGAGTTGAAGGTGGCCGGCTGACGAAATTAGAAATAGTCTCTGGAATCTCCCAATACGTCATATCACCTACTGGGTAAATGCTTTCCGAATATGATAAACGCCACCTGTAATCATATAACTTTCTTATTAAACACTTATAAAAACCGTATAAAAACCTTATAAAAACCGTATAAAAATCGTATAAAACCGTTTAGAAATCATATAAAAACCTTATAAAACATTAAAAAATCTTGATAAACCCTTATAAAAACCTTATAAAAACCTTATAAAACCTGTTATTACCTATCAGTGGAATAAAAATCATCAACAAACATGTTTTCATTGAGATTAACATGTTTTGCAGCAGCGATTGCGTGTGCGCAGGGGAACCTGTCGATATCAAACACACGACATGTGCAACTTCTAGCATCCTAATTCACCACATGCAATTGTTCACCTCCTTTAACCTCAAATATATTTTGATTTACTAGACAGACTTCAAGCCAGCAGGAAGATTCATTATATGAAGAATTCATAATCTGTGACACGTTTGAAGTAACTGCATACGGATGTCGACAGCTCTCTTCTCGTCGTTCATGGAACCATCTTGTCATAATAGAGCGAATTGTATCAAACAAGCATACAATTGGGGTACTCACGTGTCTCTTTCAACAAAGAATTCACAGATTCAGCCAAGTTTGATGTCATAATATTGTACCTATTTGAAGGCGACATTGCACGAGCCCATTTCCGAACATCTACTTGCCAAAGGTACGCTCCCAATTTTTCATCGGCTATGGATATTTGAGCAAAGAGGTACTCAAACGTCTGTGTTGTGTAGGCCCGTGAAGCGTCGTAAAAGACATGAATAAGTGTAGAACCTTTGAAGTTTTTTTCAAGGTTTTTCTGCAAGTGAAAAGTGCAGAGTGCATGATGAGCTTGGGGGTAATTTGCTGCAAGAGCAGATTCAATTGAAGCTGCACGATCTGATACAAAAACCAGATCATTTTCGTCTGGAATAAAGGTCTTCAAACAACGCAAAAACCAGTTCCAAGATGCGTCATTCTGAGAATCTACAACAGCAAAAGCAATAGGATATAGATTAAAATTCCCATCTTGAGCAGAAGCAGCAAGCAAAGTCCCTTTAAACTTTGATTTCAAATGGGCGCCATCAATAGAAATGACTTTCCTCATCAACTTAAAACCTCGAATAGATGCACCAAAGGCAAGAAAAGCATACTTAAACTTATTAGCATAATCTACTTCGATAAAAGTGTCAGTGCCTGGATTCTTCATTGCTACCATGTGGAACCACTTAGGAAGAACCTCAAAAGAATCAGAAGGTAAACCCCTAGCAACTTCTGTTGCATGTTCTTGAGCTCTCCATGCTTTTAAGTACGACACCCCAACTCCATGATCCTTTCTGAAGATTTCTATTAGTTGCTTGGGTCTGAGTGGAAGCTTTCCTCCTTCAAAATGGTTGCTAACCATTCCACCCAATGTCTTTGCATCTGCTTGACGATGATTTACATTCCTTAATGTAGAGTCACAACTATGCAGTCTAATATATTTTCGAATGATAAAACCATCTGATCCTTTAACTCTAATAGCACGTAACTTCCAATTGCAATTTTCATCAATTCAATTCAGAACATATCTCTTGTTGTCCGACTTCTTAGTCTGAAACTCAAAACTTTTTTTCAGCGCATACATCCGCAGCTGAGTAGTCATTTCTTTTTTGCTTTTGAATAACTTTCCGCAAAACAAAGAACCAACATCAAGTAGAGCAGGAGAATTGGGCATTGTCGGAACCTGAAAGTTCAAATTCAGTATCCTAATACATCTATGCATTAAAATTACAAAAGCTTTTAAAAGCATTTTATACGATTTTTAATAGATTTTTAAAAGGGTTTTAAAAGCTGTTTATAAGGATTTTAAAAGATTGTTATAAGGACTTTACAAGAACCAAGTTGTTTTCAAACTAACTTATAAACATTATAAGGTTACCTTATCTAAAGTAGTAGATTACCTGAGTACGATTTGGCCAAGAAACATCAGTAGCCCAAAAAGAAGTTGTTTGGTTAAGTATCACCGGCTGCTGATTAATGATAGTAGACGTTCTTGGTTCCTCAGCGGAAGTAAAAAGACCAGCAGTAGCAGCAAAAGGATTAGGCATTGTCGGAACCTGAAACTACAAATTCAGTATCCTAATAAATCTAGTCATTAAAATTACAAAAGCTTTTAAAAGCCTTTTATACGATTTTTAATAGAATTTTTTTAAAAGGGTTTTATAAGGACTTTATAAGAACCATGTTATTTTCAAACAACTTGTCTTGTTTATAATGTTTTAAAATGGTTTTACATGATTTTTATAAGGTTTTCAAAAGTTTTAAACAGTATTTTTAAAAGAGGTTTACTTGAGAATGAGAAGCAGAAGATACATCGCTTGCAACAAACTGATATGAGCTAGTTTGTCCTGAAAAATAAAGACGTAATAAGTTAATAATGATTTGAAACAATATTTTTTTTAAAGGGAATTTCTAAAGTAGTAGATTACCTGAGTACGCTTTGGACAAGAAACATCAGTAGCCCCAAAAGAAGTTGTTTGGTTACATATAACTGGCTGCTGATTAATGATAGTAGACGTTCTAGGTACCTCAGTAGAATTAAAAAGACCAGAAGTAGCAGCAGGACGATTAGGCATTGTCGGAACCTGAAAGTACAAATTCAGTATCCTAATAATAGATGAGTTTTCAAACAACTTGTCTTGTTTATAATGTTTTAAAAGGGGTTTAAATGATTTTTATAAGGTTTTCAAAAGTTTTAAATAGTATTTTTAAAAGAGGTTTACCTGAGAATGAGAAGCAGAAGCTACATCGCTTGCAACAAACTGATATGAGCTAGTTTGATCATGAAAAATAAAGACGTAATAAGTTAATAATGATTTGAAACAATATTTTTTTTTAAAGGGTTTTTCTAAAGTAGTAGATTACCTGAGTACGATTTGTACAAGAAACATCAGTAGCCCCAAAAGAAGTTGTTTGGTTACATATAACTGGCTGCTGATTAATGATAGTAGACGTTCTAGGTACCTCAATGGAAGTAAAAAGACCAGAAGTAGCAGCAGGAGGATTAGGCATTGTCGGAACCTGAAAGTACAAATTCAGTATCCTAATAATAGATGAGTTTTCAAACAACTTTTCTTATTTATAATGTTTTAAAAGGGTTTTAAATGATTTTTCTAAGGTTTTCAAAAGTTTTAAACAGTATTTTTAAAAGAGGTTTACCTGAGAATGAGAAGCAGAAGATACATCGCTTGCAACAAACTGATATGAGCTAGTTTGATCCTGAAAAGTAAACAGGCACTACGATTATAATGAGTTGTAACAGTTAGAAAGAGTTCACTACAGTCACTAAAGATTGTAATGATTTATAAGCAAAATTAAGAAAGAGATCAATAAAATATACCTGCTCAACTATGACACAATTATCCTCTCCAGAAACACATAGATGAATACTTTGTGTTTGTGCAGAAATTCTCATAAACGTTGCCAGTTGCCTATCATTTCTAATAAAAATTGGATGACTACCTAGTGTTGCAGTCATAGAAGGCAACTGAAAACTAAGCTTTAGAGAGTGTTTCTGATTATCAATTGCAAAATCTTCATAAAGAATTTTGACCAAATCACTAAAACTAGTTCTCTCATCAATGCTAATCAGATAAACTCCCCTCTCATCATCAATTTCAAATTCCCATTTAATATTATGCTTCAACTTCCATAATCCACAAACTGAATACAGTTCAAGCATCTCTAATAAGTGCTGCGAAAACAAAGCAATATCACAATGAAAACGTGGTCAGTAAATGAATTATAAGGATTTTAAATGGATTTTAAAAGGTATAAGAATAGAAACAACAATGAGAAAAATCCTTCAAAATTCAACCACAGATAACAACAAGTACATCGAAGAAGAACAAAATTGGTTGAAAAAGTGATGAGATCTAATCAAGTAGTGATCAGATCTGGGAAACGAACCAGGAAATATGTAATTAAGAAACGAAGGCGATAGAGAGAAGAGACGAAGGCGATGCCGAGAAGAGACGACGGTGATATATTGTGTTTTTATCGGTTTTAAGTCTTTCTTTTCTCTTTCATTTTATAACTTTTATTGAGTCAAAGTATGTTTTTAGAGTCTTTTAGTCCATTATAGAGTCTTTACAGGTTTTAGGTTGCTTTGGAATAAAACAAATTGTTTTGGGATGGAAACACACATTTGGAGATGCATATTCAAGTAGAAGTGTCAGATGTTTGAGATCATATGGATACCTTTCCACCATTAGATCTTTCTCATAGTTTAACACAAGATAAAGACAGATGTTAGCTTTCATTGGCAAGTGATATCAAGGAAATCTAACGGTACATTAAAGAGTTACACCCGATTTCGTGAAGACAGGTCATTCTGCTGAGTTGTTGAAGC